TAACGGTAGACACACTAAATGGTCATTTAATAGATATTGTACCCAGACATGTTCTCCAGTCATTTTTGCGTTATCTATGTATTTCCGACAAATAACATCAACAGTGGCTCCTGTGTCTCGAAGAATAGGCATTTCATGCCCATTAACTAAACCGTTAATTGTATATGTCTTTAACAAATCATCATTCGAAAATACGCAATTTACCTTTTCATTTGGTTTTAAGCGAGGGTACTGAGGCTTAAAATGTTCGTATGAACCACACTCGAAACAACATGGTCGATATCTTTTGTCATATAAATTTTCTTGGTTTGTGTTTTGAAATTGACTTTTTTTTGTCGGTGATCTTTCTGGTATTTTGAATCATCCCATTTATCAAAATGCTTAAAATGAGGCGGATGCTCTATTTTTTTCCGCAAAATTATCGGAAAGAGGTTTAAATGATCCTTTGTTAAATCTCTCAGTTTGACTGGCAGAAAATTTCGGTTTTATTGGTTTTCTGACATCTTCAAAATTTTCAATTTTCTTAACCATCTCAGTAGGTGAAATTATAGTTGTCCATTGATCCATGAAATGTTCTTTGAAATCAGGAGAAGTACGCTTTTTTATTTGATCAACAAGCATGAGATCTTTTAGCTGTTCAAAAGTTTTAATGTTTAATCCGTTAAGTCATCCTTCTAAATAATTCTTTAATTCATAGTAGAAATCATACCAAATACTTTCAGTAGATTTTTGGTGTTTATTAAATAGTTGTCGTAATTTTTCCGCACTTAATTTAAATCGTTGTAACAGTAAAGTTTTTACATATTCATACTTTTTCGCGTCCTCTTCTGGTTCACTAGCAATAAGCTGACTGAACAATGTCGGGAGGCAGCAATGAAATAAGTTGAGTCACTTGATTTTCAGCAGGTATATTCATTATTTTAGCTTGACGCTCAAATAACACCAGAAATAAACTTATTTCATCTTCTTTAGGGTTGAAACGTGGCATGACATCGTGAATTCTGATTTTTAAAGGCTGGTCAGGTAACTGCGTAGTTTCTACCGGCTGTGCTGTGGCAGCCATTGCTTCCAGTTGAAGTTTCTGTAGCTCAAAGGCTCTAATTCGCTCTTCTTTTCTTTCTTCTCTTTCGCGTTCTTCTCTTCTTTCTCTTTCTTCTCTTTCGCGTTCCTTTTGTCTTTCTTCCCTTTCGCGTTCCTTTTCTCTTTCTTCTCTTTCGCATTCTTCTTTTCGTTCCCTTTCTTCTCTAATTGCAGCCAGTAGTTCTCGAGTAAACTCCTCATCATAATCGGGACTTTCAGTAATCAGTTTATGCAATTGAGCAATCTTAAATTCAGGTTTTCACGGTTAAACCTAACTCTTCTGCTAGTACTTTTAAATCCTGTTTTTTACTCCTAGCTAAGAATGACATGTTGACACAAGTTACTTTAATAGGCTTCCTTTGAAATTCAATCTAAAATCTCGTACTTGTATTAAAAATATATAATTTCTGGCGAGATTTAATTTCTCGAATACGAAATTCACACTAACCAATTGGAGAGAATTATTTAAACAACTTTGCCAGGTTGGCACAAAATAATTTAATACTACGTCGAGTTGACGTTTTAACTCACTATTCACAAGCCTCGTTAGCTATAACTATATAAACACCTTTTGCCAGTTAGGCAATACAATGGAATTTTACCAACGTCAGTTTGACGATTTTACTATCTATCTCCACGCCTGGTTGGCGATAACAAAAACAATTTTTGCCAGTTTGGCAATACAACTTTTAGAATATGCAATCTGTAATACGTCGGGATGACGTTACTATCTATCACACGCCTGGATGGCGAGAACTAAGAAAAAAACCTTTTGAAAAATTCTGCAGTATAATCAAATCACACTACGTTAGTTTGACGTTGCTACTTATTTTCCACGCGCCTGCTTGGCAACAAATTCAAAATTCAGCTAGCAGTTCTTTTTTTTTTTTATAAACGCCGGGATGGCTTACACATATCAATTATCCATAAAAATTCAATACAAATAAAAGTTAAGCATAAACAATAATTTTAAAATACTTCTTTACCACAAATATCAATTATAAATTTAAGCTGAATATTTTTAGTGTCAGTTATTTTAAACAAAATCTTACACGATAAACTATAATTCTGAAACAATCTATTAAAATTCAATAAAAGCTTTTTTAAGAAAACCCAAAGTTATTCTTATCTTCAGAGATCAGCAGTATCCTGTATTGACAGATTTTTGCTCGGACGCAAGTTATAGAAGCACAGAATGATCACCTTTGAATGATCCGCTTCAAATCTGGCTTTAAAACGGCAGACTTCTTACATCCATTTCTCCTTGAAATAAACAAACTAGGCAATTGGTATTAGCAAACTTGTTCTAAAAAAATTCAGCAAATTTCTGGGATTAGGAGACCAGCACAATCAAAATTGATAATTGCACTCCTAATTTTCAGGATCTCGGTGGAACCTCCAATTAATTAAGACTGTAATGTATTTTGCAGTAATTTACAAAACAGACAATCTTCTTAGTAGAACATAAACTTTATTTCTAGTTCACGGTGATAGACAAATTTTATACAATTCTTAAGTGGCAAAATTTGCATACTACTCCCTAGCTGGTAAAATCTTCAGAATCCTAATCTTTTTAAAACAATATCTCACGTTACTCAGTAACGGTTTAATAAAAATATGGCGTTGCCACTTCAACAATAATTACATTTATTTATTAAATAACAAGATATTACAATGTCCACTGGACGCCTGATCAATGGAGGGTGGTTCTCTTTACGAATGAGTCCAGGTTTAGTCTAGAAAGCGATAGTAGGTGTTATTGTACTGTAACCATTGTATTGATTTTTGCACAACCATGCTTTCTCCATCGTTTAAATACTAAGTGTTGTCTCTCATTTCTAAATTTCATGTCTCTCAAATAATTTTTGAGGCATTTATAAAAAAAAAAAAAAAAAAAAAAAAAAAAAAAAAAACCTGTTGCTTAAGTTTTGCACACCAGTGTAGTAGTCACATCTAATACAGTAGATATAAATTCTTGTAGTACTTAATTGCAATTCAGTGCTACGAACACTTGTAGAAATTGCAAGTAATATACCTATCGGAGATTTTAATAAAATCAATTAATTATTTATGACTAATTTAAATCATGGTGGAGAATTTTGAGCCATATATAGAGATACCGGGTTCTATGCCTGTACGTTAAGCACAGCTAGTATATGGCGCTCAAATATATGATATGTTCCGCTTTTTCGACAGAAATAAGTCTTTTTGCTACCTACGGATTATCCCGTCAACCGTGAACGTTGCCTAACATCAAGCCATCAATGTTGGTGGAGATCTTGCCAAAGTTGCGCCAATCGTTCTTACGGAATTCTGAAAGAATTGATGCCTGCTTATTAATAAACAATCAGTACTCGATTCGCTTTTTTTTGCACTTCCTAAAATGGCTTTCGTCGATCTCCACTATTTTTAAGACCCTCCGATTTTACTGGAATCCTTGTTTAGAACGCTATGAGTATAGTTTCCCCGCAGCTTATTGTTATGACTCCTATTAAGTTTAGTATTTCCCGTTTATTATTATTTAAGAGCTTGTTTTGTTTGTTAAGTTTGATGTATGAATCTGGTAACCAGTTTCATATGTTGTGATCGGGGAATTCCCGTTCTTCTAAGCAAGCAGCAGTTAAGTTAGTTACATTACTGAAGTACGGAATGTTTATCATCAAGATGTACGAAACACTTTATCTTTACACTAAATTCTACATGTAAATAATCGTCTGTATGTGTTCGTAAATAAAATAAATTGGATATAAAACCAAATCTGATTTAAAATCAAAACAAAACTGGCGTCTGCGACAGGATTTGAACCCAGGGACGAAGAGTTGCCATCTGATTTGCAATTACGTTATCGAAGATAGGCTAACATTTAGATCTTGTTCAGAAATGTCGAATATCTCGAAGGATATTGTATCGAACTTTCGGAAATGGCCAGCTTACACATATTTGCTGATGCTTCGTCTCAAGGGTATGCTCGCTGTGCATTTCTATGCTGTGAAGAAAGGGAAGAAGTGAAAGTTTCAATGATTTTGGCAAAGGCTAGAATAGCTCCGGTTAAGAGACCGACAATTCCGCGACTGGAACTTTTAGGAGCTGTCATGGGAGCTAGAATTGGTTCAACAATATTAGAAAATTTGAATTTTCCTTTGAAGACATATTTTTGGACGGACTCGATGATCGTCTTGGCATGGATTACAAAAACAGAACCATAGAATACACCTTCATTGGAAATCGAGTGAAAGAAATCAGGAAACTGACCAATATAGATGATTGGAGACATGTTCCTGGAGACGTCAACCCAGCAGACTTACCTACCCGAATTTGTGACTGGTCAGACCTTCTGCAGAGTCAATGGTGGCAGGGACCAACTTGGTTGTATGGAAGGGAAGAGCCAATATCGGAATTATCGATTCCAGAGCAAGAACTTCTGGAGAGACGCAAAACAGTTGTCATAAATTTAGTTAGTGAAAAGGAAAGGAAATTTAGTAAAAGATTTCTGTAATTTTCAAGCTGCAAAAGAATTCTCCGCGTGACTGCTTATGTTTTGAGATTTTGTAACAACATTAAGACAAACTCTATGAAGCTGAGAAATGAGATTTCATGTGAAGAGATTGAAAGGGCAGAAAATACTCTGATAAAAATCATCCAATCTGAATGGCCTTCTGAAATACGTGAGAAGTATAAAATACGATACAATTTTACACAGAAAATGGAATTCTGAAGGTTCAGACAAGACTCATTCTTAGTCAAGATCCAGAGGATTTTACACGTCCCATAGTTTTTCCAGACAGTCCAATTCTAGAGAGATTGATATTGCATACCCACCTCTCTTTGATGCACGCTGGAGTATTAACGACACTAACGCAATTAAGAGAAAGATTTTGGATTCTGAAAGCACGGAGAGTTGTTCGAAGAGTTTTACGACAATGTATACAATGCAAGAAAAACTTCAGGAAATGTTAACCCAGATTCAGCGCCTTTGCCTCCTGACAGAACACACACGAGTTTCAGCATTTCAAGTAACTGGTGCAGATCTGGTTGGACCTCTTTTCTTGCGTGGAGGGAGCAGAGCGTGGATTCTCCTTTTCACGTGTGCTGTCTATCGAGCAGTTCATCTGGAACTAGTTTCCTCCCTGACCACTGAAGCATTTATGCAAGCATTACGCAGATTTTGGGCAAGGAGAGGAAGATGTTCTACTCTTTATACTGATAATGGTACCAACTTTGCAGGAGCTGCAAACGCTTTGAAATCTTTGGACTGGGATTTCAATCAAAGAGAATGTGCAGTAATGAAAATCAGGTGGATATTCAGCCCTCCATCTGCCCCATGGTATGGCGGGTTTTGGGAAAGAATGGTTCGTTGTATCAAGGAACTTCTTCGAAAGTGTTTGGGAAAATACTGTGTCACATATGAAGAAATGTTGACTTTGCTCAGGACGACCACTGACATATTGTCAGACATTTGTCATTTGTCAGACGACCCTAGCGAATTGAAACCACTTACGCCTGCTCACTTTATTCAAGATTTAGGGGAACGAGAAACCATTGATTTGGATTTAATTGATTCTCAGCACTTACTGAAACGTGTAAGTTATCTTCATACTTTACGGCTAAATCTACGAAAACGTAAGGAATATCTTGGAGAATTAATAAGAAGTCCTAAATCATCTTCACGGAGAAAAACTATTTCTCCAGGAGAAATTGCTCTAGTTAAATCAAAGAATCCAAACAGGATAAATTGGCCTTTAGCCCATGTAATTGAACTGTTTCCTGGTAAAGACAATATTGAACGTGTTGCAAAACTACGAGTCGCCAATGGTGAAATCATACGGCCCCTCCAGCGCATTTATCCTTTGGAGCTTACTTTGGAGCTTACATCAATGAAGTTATCGGCTTCTCAAAAAATTGAGACCATCCCAGAATCAGAAACTTGTGATAACGAAATTCCGCAGAGTGTAAGGGTAGCGCGCAGCGGTCGTCGAGTAGTGCCTGTTAAACGTATGGACTTATGAACTGTTATTGACTTTTTTCTTAGACTTTCATAATTGTAATGTCATGTGTTAAAATTTATGTCTGTTATATGTATATGTTACCGTGAAAGACCGAAATTGGAGAATGTCGACTTTCACCGGAGAATGTCAACATTCACCAAATACGTCGGTGAAAGATCGAATATTGCATTACATTCTTGTACGTTCGGACCCTCACCGGTGTATGTCGACAGTCACAGGTATGTTCTGGTGTAGGTCCAAAAGAGAGGTCATAAAGTATCATAATAGTTTGTATTGTTGCAATAAATAACATTTGAATCACATAATTGAGTAAGTTTTTTATTACTATTATTTTATTTTCTCATTTAGAACTTACTGTATAATTAAGTTTTTAACTTCTATTATTTTCCTTTCTCATTTTGAATGTACCGTGGGTTTTAAGTTCTTATATTCTTAAGTTCTTATTTTAACTCTTAAGTGCGTTTTTTCGCGACTGAATTACGGAGAAGAAAATATAATATTCTTATATGTTGAACATTCACCATTAGTACATGGTAAATGTCGACATTTATCGGTGTAAGTCAGAAATAAGAATATTTGGAAAATATTTCGGACATACACCAAGCGACTAGGTGATTGTTGACATTCACCGGTGAAAGTCGACATTCTCCGGATTTCGGTGTTTCACCGTAACATATGCATTTTCATTACTTCATTTTGCATTGTTTTAAGAAAACATGGCTGCAATGCAAAGGAGGGGAGGATGTTATGACTCCTATTAAGTTTAGTATTTCCGTTTATTATTATTTAAGAGTTTGTTTTGTTTGTTAAGTTTGATGTATGAATCTGGCAACCAGTTTCATATGTTGTGATCGGGGAATTCCCGTTCTTCTAAAGCTGTAGTTCAGTTAGTTACATTACTGAAGTACGGAATGTTTATCATCAAGATGTACGGAACACTTTATCTTTATACTACACTCTACATGTAAATAATCGTCTGTATGTGTTCGTAAATAAAATAAATTGGATATAAAAGCAAGTCTGATTTAGAGCGGCAATAATTTGTCTGATTTGATTTGATCAAAACAGTTCTAATCTGTTACAGTGTTGTCGATCATATTCCGCTGGCCCTATCGTATCTATTATTAAACACTTTCTTATGGTAAGGTGTCATAACCTTGAAAATAAATCATGCTTGCTGTTCTGTAGATCTCGGGTCCTGAACTGTATTTACGTTGTGAAAAATGCAGGAAAAATGTGGCAGTAACAGCTAATTTATATCCCTGTTTATAAAAACATGAAGTGGCTCATCGAGACCGATGGGGTTTACATCAAACGAAAGCGTAGATAAATCACTGGGTCGTTACCTCACGCTTAACCATAATTAACACTAAATCGCGCTTTTTGGTGACAGCATCGTGATCGACGGGATAATACCTAAGTACAGCATTTTCTCCATCTTATAAAAAGGCCCTGCGTTATGGGTTTTCTTCATTATACATAGAATTTCTTTCGAATTATTTATAACGTAACAAATTAATATTGTGAGTTATATTTTTAAAGAAAGTTATCTTTAAAGTTATTATTTTTAAAGAAACAGTGAGAGGATTTTTTCGCTAACAAACATCCGATGGCAAAAAACACAACGGTTTTGATGCGGAGTTAATGAAGTCAGTCTGGACACATAATACCATTCTACTCACATAATACCATTTGAATTTGGCAGGAAGAAGGGGAATTATTTGTTTGGGAAAAAAAGGGAGAGAGAATGGGAATTCTTTCATAATAAGAAAGAAGACTAAAATGCCATAATTTTTTATATTTTCGTCATGAGTATCTGCAAAAGGGAAGAAAAGGCTTTAAGAGCATGATTTTTTATTGTCATATCCAGTAAGCTTGAAATGGTAAAATCTAAAATAGGATATCAATTTCCTTGCCAACTTCTACCAATAACAATAATCAGCATAATCTTATTTTTAAAAATATTTATGAGAAATATGCATAGCTATTTTCATTTTCGCTATATTCTATAAAAATATTGTTGTATGCGCACAGGTTCGTAATAGATTGAATGCACAAGTCGGATAAAAAGTTAATAAAATTTATTCTTATCACAAGAAATAAAAGAAAATGCTGAATTTTTTCCCTAGAGATATTCGTATAATATCACAGTATCACGCAATACAATCAGTAGCTATAACTTAAACTACTAAAACGTTAAATAAAACGCAATCCAAAGCGCAGAAAAAGCTAATCCGATTTCACCGCGAATTCGCTACAATTAGCATCAACAACTAAGTAAACAACTGAACTGAGATGTTTCTCTTCGGCTTTTTAAATCTTTTTAATCGGTCACAAGAAGGTTCTGGTAATTTCTGTTTTCTTGAGGTTTATGGAAAGCAAAAGAGTAGAATTACGATTACAGCTAACTTACATTTATTCAATTTAAATATAAATTACGAGATAGCTATTTATTGAATGTTAAATACGCGTACTCCTGTATTTTTACTTTTCCGGCGTAGCTTTCTCTTAAAATAAGTCTCGTGCTGCATTGCGCGGGAATATAAAACAACTTTAATTCTAATTCTAGTAAAAATAGCTAAACACTCAAAAAGTCTATAAACACAGAGAAAAGAACCTTCCACTTCCATAATTTGAGGTTCACGTATTAATGATTCAGCTGCCTTCGACAATAGAATTTTCGGCAGCTAAAGGGGAATTTCATAATTTCAGGGAAGGATTGTGGTCAGTATTTTATTTACCTGTTATGCCTTTAATTTTAATTTATTATTATGAAAACCACTTTTATTCAAGTTTTGGCATTTATCAACATTTTCTATATTTTTTCTTTTTTAATCTATAAAACACATTAAAAATAATCTAAATTAATTCTAATAAGTCTAGAAGTGGTGAAAGGGGTGTAAGAGGAAATGAAAGGTTGAGAACTACTGGTGTGATATTTAACTGAAGTCGGTTATTCCAAGGTCACATACTTCCGTTTTGAAACATTAGAAGAAGGAAACATGTATTACCATTCTATAAAATCTGTGTTTTTTTATCTTATTTATTTATTCATATTTTTTAAATAAAGATTTAAAAGTAAAAAATATTTGATTTGTTCAATGGTAGTATGGTACTCTAACATCAAAATGATTTGATACCCAAATTGTAATGCCACCAGCGGCCGAGCGGTAAAGGCGCTGAACACTGGTAGTTCGGTTCTAGGTTCGAATCCCGCAAACGGGCTGGCTGCATGGTGTTTTCGTGGTTTTCCCCATTTGTAAAGTGTATACTAGCCAGTTTTCCTCAGAAAGTCCTCCACGAAGGCTCCCCTTAGGCAGACAGCCCTCGTGTGCTTTGCCATAATTAAATACACCAACCCCAAATTGTGATGCGTAAAATGCGTTTATTATAAAGTCTTCTCTTTAAATGTATACCCGAATATGGATAGGGGAAAAGAGAGATTTGAAAACTTGATCAATGAGTACACGCTATCATTTTACTTGATTCAAAAGCCAAGAGCTAGAAATATTTTTTTATAAAAATATTTTTAGCAAAGCTATATAGCTATTGTAATTACTCTATTATAATCTTAGTTAATCAGTAATGTTAATTAGGATGCTTTTTATATCAGATTTGTTAATTCATGTCTAACAGAACCAGACTGTAGGTTTTTGTAACCATAAACATTCATTTTATGTGTAACTGAATGACGTTAAAAACTCAAAAGGACTTTTTTCTATTATGTTTTGTCAATATAGTATGCATATGGTAAGACTTGATTTCTTACCAGTTTGTAAAAGTTTGGCAATCTAATTGAATATTATCCTTTGGAAACAATTTTCTCATATTGTTGCCATCCTGTACTATGGCTGAATTTATTTAACTAATTAATGATTTGTTGTTACTCGTTTTAAAAAAGATATTAATATTTCCTAACACTTTTGTACATTTTTATATTTATTTGGTGTTATATGGCAGCGGATAGTTGAATATTAAACTTTGCTCTATTCTGTAGTCAGTTTAAACAGGTAATGGTAGATAAGCTATATGTTTGCCGTTATCGGTTGCGACTATGTTAAAAAAATAATGAAAATGATACTTAGAAGCTTTTTTTTTTAAGTAAAACAATTTTTAATAATTAAATTTTAGCTTTTGAATAATAATTCGGAATACGTTTAATGGTTACTGTTTATATCGTTTGAACCATTCATAATACTTTTTTGTTATATCTTCTATACTTTTCATGTTTACGCATTTTATTTTGAGAGTAGACACATTATCGGGTGTTTTTTAATAATTATTTTAAGGTCTCTTTTAATTAACATTACTAGGGAACTGAAAAATTTTCTTTCTTTCTTCGTCCAAATAATATTAGTACATATTTATAATATTATACATGCTTTTAAGTGTTAATAATAAGCCTGTGTTCTATAATTTTGCAGTAGAATTTAAACTTGATTTGTTTCTTTATAAATGCATCCACTTTTTTTTCTTTTTGTTTGTTCGTTTTTAGCTTCAGAGATTTATTTTATGTTGTGTGTATGTAGATTGTATGTTTCAAAATTTTAGGTACAATTCCGTACCCATCTGTTTCATATAAAATAATACATTTTTATGGATAGAAGCGTTTTTAAAAAAATTATCAGGAAACTCATTTGAATTTACTTTCTTACGCTCCGTAAAAAGTGTTATCTGTATGATAGAGTTCTAATTTTTACACTGCTAAAGAGACAATAGGTGAAACTGAAGGAAAATGCATTAGCATAACTATACTAATTTGTATCTTAGCAGAGTATAAAGCGGCTTAGAGACTATAATATTTTGCAATTAAACTTTCTAGATAGCAATGTAACTTTCCAGACAACAACAATACTTTACCGCAAATGAACAGAAAAACAATACATAATATATATATTTAAGATAATGTGTGTTTTATATTTAGAAAATAAGAACTATTTTATAAAGAAAACGAGAATCTTACAATATATCTGGGAGGGGACGGGGGAGTTACTGGGACAGGTATTCTGTTGGAATAGTAAAATAGCTTGAAATATAGTACTTTAGAAATGAGACCTTGGCTCTAGTGTAGAATTGGGTGCGCCTTCCATTAGCGACATTTTTAAAAAAAAATTTGGCGATGAAACCTCACTTTTGGTTACCTTGATATTTTTAAATGTGTTTTAGCTTCTTGATTTTATTTAAATGAAAATAGATTGATACACATCAATACATGGACAAATTTAAGGAAGTGCGCAATGCCTAGTTTGTGCAATTCTAGGATGTTTTTTTAAGTGAAAACAGACCGATGTGTTTGTGCAAGGATGTGTTTGTGTGTGGACAGAGAGTTTGTGCAATTCTGTGACTTCTTATTTTGGTTTTATGCAGCGGCCATCTTGAAATTGTGCCTTCCTGGCGCCAATCTTGGCGTAAACAAATAATCGTCAAAAAACAAAAGGCACCCAATTGTAAACTTTTTACCGAGAGCTTTTGCAGCAATAAAAGATAAGAAATGAAACATACCTGATTTTAGAGCGCAGACAAAAATCAAATGTTACGTGTATTATAACTCACTGACGTGTATTATAATTTTAAAAAATGTTTGCTTAGACATATTGTCATTCCCTACAATGTATTTTATTATTTTGTGCACACGAATTATTCCCTTATATGAAATAGTAATTATTTTATAGGATCAGACAGGAGAAATTACTTGAGGCTTGAAAATGTTGCTTGAAAGTCACCTTACTCAAAATTTATCGTCAGATGAAAAGAAGGCTATAGAAGAGGTAAGGAAATCGTAATGTTAATCAGGATGTTGAAAACATCATGATGTATATTATCTTTTCTGGTTTTGCACAGAAGATGTACACAATTTCAATAATTTTTTTGTACGAGCAGATATGAATTTGTTCCTTAATATTTCGCGCGGTGTTACAGGCGATCGTGTTACGGTAGTGAACAGCAGAATGGCTACGTCTTCTACAGCTCAAATTCAGAAAACTGCAACCATTCAGAATAGTTTATAGAAAAATTTGATTAAGTTTCAGAAAATCGCTTCTAAGAAAGGAATCTTTCTAGGATCGATCACAAGTAATTTAAAAATATAGATTCTTTAAGCAAAGAGAAAAATTTTGGAACATCTCGCATTGTGAAGAACAATTTCAATGTCTTCTGCTGCTTTCCAACAAAGTCCAAGTAAATCAGCAATGAGGGCAAGTCTTGAACTTCAGATTCCAAAGTCTACACTTTGGAAAATTTTTAGAAAGCTGCTAAAATTCATTGAATACAAATTTCATTTCAAATATTGCTGCACTTAGCTTGACAATATATAACAAGGCTTTTCCACTAACACACGTAGCCATTTTGTCAACTGAGTCACGTGAAATACGATGTCGCCGAACGGAATGCTGGGAATTTCGGCTCATTAGGTTGAAGGCAAAACTATTGCGGAGAAAACAATGCAAGAGGAAAAGTCGTCGTTCAAAACAATGTGGAAGAAAAGCAAGGAAGAGTTCTAAAACATTGTAATAGTACGAAACATCATCGTCGAAAACAAAGCGGTTCAAATACTTTGCAATATAAAAACATAATCGTAGAAGATATCGTGATAAAAGTAAAATACTTACAAATCATCCATCATGAAATTATCGCACACATGCGTTTTCTGGGCTTTAAAAATTATTAATGCACATTCGCATAATAATTTGTGAGCGTAAGAAGGAATGGAGAATATTTTTGCTACTGTTGTGTATATAATCTCGCACCCTTTATTTTCTATGTTAACAGTATGATTTCATGTTTTAAAATTACATATAAAGCATGTATAGGAACTGCGTAGTACATTGCAAATAAGCATACTAGTTATAATTGCTGTCAGCATTTTTATTGCGCCAAATCATTTATCTAGCTTTTCCTATCATATCTAAATAAAACTTTAATTTCGGTTCAACGGAACCTCTGAGGTTATTTATCTCACAACAAATTTTGGTGCCGTTTTGCCGTCGCAGGCAATGAAATCGCCAATAATGGTACAACTGGATGCCAAACGGAATATCCTCGCTGGTAACCATTAAGCCTCATTTTCAAAACAATTCGCAAACATTTCTTATCATATTGATTGTTTCTTTCAATACTCGCATACAATTACATAGAATTTGTACCAGATAGTTTAATTTTATGCCTTAAGGGCATCCGCGGTAATTATTTCAATTAGGATGCAATCAATCATAGGGCTCACCTGACGGGGAAAGTACAGAAAAGGCAGGCAAGGTCAAGTGTTAAATTCATGAATTCTAATGAGAATGCACTAGCGAAGAAAAGCACTGCGGTTTTACATAATTTCTGAGTAAGCAATTTATACGAATTGAAATAATTCTTATATTTAAACTTGTATTCCAAATTAAGATTTAACTTGAAATTAATGTAGAAAATTACTGAGAGAATTATATTTTTGTAGCGTAGTTTACGTAAGATGAGATCACTTGGGGTCACGTGATATGAACCGGCGAACAGGATGTTGAACCATTAAAGCATAGTAAATTCTTAAATTAATGTCTTTTTACAAATTTATTGTGGTTATTTATTGGCTTATTACAAAATTTTAAACGATATTAAAATGAAACAAAAAATAAGAATAAAAAATAAATAAAATAAAATTTAAAATAAAATATTCTTAGAATAAACATTTGTTAACATTTTGTATGTTGTCGCCAATAAAGTCTGCTTGGCGAGATTTGCGCCGGCGAAATGGAAAAATACCCATATTGGTATATTTCATATTATTAAGTTAACTAATAAATTTTTGCTGGCAAAGTATGAAGGAAACTTGAGCATTTCAAAAGTGAAAGTAATTAGGAAATTAATCTTACTTGTATCAGCTAATACAAGGAAATTAATGTTACTTATAACAATTAATACAATTTTAAACTTATGTAATTTTCTAATAAATGTAATTATTTAATTAATAAATTTTAAAGTTTTAATGGTAATTTTCAGGAAAAATGTAGTCTAAAAAGATTATAAAAGGAAGATGAGTAACTGCATGAAGTTAACTATATTAAAATTCTGTAATTAATTAATCAATTTAAAATTATTTTCTTTTGTTTTTGTTAATCTGATATTTAGTGAAAATTAAATCTTGCTTTATTTCAGTTTCTTAGTCTTCTTAAAGTGTCATTAACATTTTCATATGCACTTTACAATCAATCGTTTGGTTGTTTATTTGTTAAGTATTATGAAACGATTCAACTGCAAAATGTTTTCAATAGGGAATTTGGATTTACTGGGTTATAGCAAGGAAGACTAGGGCTTGTCCTGCACAAAGACATTCGTACTTAAGGGAGCGAATGACTTTGTGGAGGACTTTCTCAGGAACTGGCTGGTATCTACATGATTTATTAGAAAAATCAGTAAATCTTACGCAACCAGCTCTTGAGCCAGATAGAACTACCAATGTTCAGCGATTTGATCGTTCGTCAGCGTTTGACTTGTTCAGCTGGGAAATACTAACTGAAATTAGTTCGTTTTTATATCATTTGACCGGTAACTGGTGAACTGGCTGCATGAGACATTCGAGATTTTTTTAATGTATAATGTGAATGCAAACCAGTTCCTGAGAACGTTCTTCACAAAGGCATACTTTTCCTTAAGCAGAAAGCCCTAGGATGCTTTTCCAGAATCCAATAAATCCAAAGCTCTTATTGAAATATTATTTAGCGGAAATATTTCCTCATAACTAACAAATCAACACACAACGACAATAGCGACGTTTGTTTTCTGTGAATGTTTACAAATATATGATTATAGGTACTAAAGTTTTTAATACAATTTAATAAAAAAATCTGATGTGTACACCACATGACTTCCTTGTGCGAAATATTAATTTATACGAATTTTTTCTTGCATTTCATTTAAACAAATTGGTTTGAATTAAATCTTCTTTGTCGATAGCGCATAAACCACAATAGAATAAATGCACTCTTTAAAATTCACTATATTTGGTTTATAGCGCTAGGTTCACTTAACAGCGTTATATTTCTTTGATATTATAACTCAGAATGCACAAATCTATATCATTTGAAGAATTATCTAATCGTTGCCACATGTTCTATTCAAATACTATAATATAAGCTAGAACGCTGTATAAAAGAAAAAAGTAAGCAAATAAAACAAAAAAGAAACAGTTTTTCACAGACGATTGAGTATTTCTCATTCAATTAATTCAGTTCTCACTTCGCGAGAAGGCAAAAATACATAAAAAACTCAAAATATCTATATTAAAAATTACGAAGTAAATCTTAAACACTTATTTCCTCGAAAAAATTCCAGAAAGGATTAAGCATGATTTAATTGGCAATAATAAATGAAGGCGTTATCTTTGTTGTTGCGAAGCTAAGTTTCTCTAGATTGGTAACAAATCCACTAGTCTGCTGTTTCAAATGTAAACAATCAATGGCCGCCATCAAAAAAATTATTAGGCTTAGCGGCACTTAAACAACTTTAAAATTGTTGATAATTCTAAAAATATTGCATACAGATTTACCTTAACCGGAAGATAAAAACAACATAATTCAACCATTTTTAAAGCAAAAAATGTACAATTTACAAACATATAAGAGTAAAGAAACTGAGCTCACTGAGCCGGGTAACAGAGTGGATATATATATAAATATATTTATATACGTTTGGTGCGGCCGATTGCAACCAAAATACGAGGTGCACATCTAGATGTTATAGCGGTCATATGTACAAAATTTCAACGTTCTGAGGCTACTCGTTTTTGAGTTATGCGAGATACGTACGTACGCACGTACATACGTTCGTACAGACGCCACGAAAAATTCTCCCCAGAATTCATTTTAAAGCAGTTTTATAATTTTTTTGAAGGAAAAGAGTATTTTATTCTGTCCTTACGTACAGATATCACGCAAAAACATCGTTAAATTGCATTCGATAGCGGTCAAAATGGATATTTTCGTTGAAATATGCTGCCTGAAACTTTTCGCGATTACAATACTTCCTTTCTATTTCGTACATGGAAGTAAAAATGTGAGAAACGAAGCTTTTCATTTCCAGTGGGAGCCCACCAGCGGCCGAGCGGTAACGTCGCTGAACACTAGTAGTTCGGTCCAAGTTTCGAATCCCGCGAACGGACTGGCTGCATGGGCGTTTTCGTGGTTTTTCCCATGTGTAATGTGTATACGAGCCAGTTTCCGTTTAAAAAGTCCTCCACGAAGGCATCCCTCCCTTAAGGCAGATAGCCCTCGTTTGCTTTGCCGTAATCTAATAAACCAAACCAAACCATCCCCAGTGCCGAAATTTTCAGACAAATCTGAACGTCAATGATGAACATTCTAACCAAATTTTTAAATTTCATGAAATCTCTAAACCGGTGCTACATCACCATTTATACATTTCGATTTCTTATTCATAGTGATTTAGTAATTATTTTTTTAAAATATTGTATATTTTTAAACAAGCGAAGGTAGTCTCATTTTTATTTGTGTATTTCTGTATTTCCAATAATTTCAATGTTTTATTCTAAACTTTCACTCAGTTTCACAATTAAACTGAAATCTGCACTTACTGGATTTGGGAGGAAAATATTGCTCATTCTACACTCATGTCCATAAATTAAGGATAATTCGGAGTCACGCGGAAATCGAACTCTAAAATAAATATATCACCTGTAAAATTACTACACACATCTTCAAGAATCATATGCAAATTTCAGAAAGTAACCAGATGACACCGATGGTACGTCACAATGACGAGAGTGGAAGAGAGTGATATATAAGGAATACAGGCAAAGAAGTAAAATTGTTCGCAGGCGCTTTATAAGCATTACAGTGAAATAACCGAATAGTTATGACACAAGGACGCATTTGGATGATTTTTTACGTGGTAGAATTATCGGCCGTCTGGAATGTGGGCGTACCCAACTGGAAGTATCAGACGAACTTGGAATTGCCCAGAGTGTCATCTCCAGGCTTTGGCAACGATTCCAAGATGATGGTATGGTAATGTGAGTAGACGTTACAGCACAGGTCGCCCCAGAGTTACAACGCCGAATGAAGGACCGGTATTTGGCAGTTACTGCCAAAAGAAACAGGCGAAGCACAGCCTCAGACCTGTCTCGTCAGCTCTCTTCAGCCACTGGTACGACAATTTCAAGGCAGACCGTGTACAGACGCTTAGGGCAGATTGGTCTATATGCTCGTAGACCTGTCAGATGCGTTCCACTTACTGCAACTCACTGTCGCCTGCGGTTAGCCTGGAGTAGAGAGCATGCATTGTGGACACCGCAACAGTGGGCTTGTGTGATGTTTTCCGACGAGTCCAGGTTTAGCTTGCAGTCTGATTCTCGCCGGACTTTCATATGGAGAGCTCCAGGTACCCGTTACCACCAAGAAAATGTCATTGAACGACACCGTTACGGTGGTGCAGGAGTGCTCGTTTGGGTGGAATTATTCTGGGTTCCAGAACTGACCTGCATGTTCAAATTGGAACCATGACAAGCCAAATCTATCGGGACGTCATTCTGGAACAACATGTACGTTTGTTTCGGGGCGCCATGGGCGCACAATTTGTGTTTATGGATGACAACGCCCGTCCTCACCGTGCAAACATCGTAAGCGAATGCCTTCAATCGGAGGAGGATATCACCCGTATGGACTGGCCAGCATTCTCACCGGACTTGAATCCAGTAGAGCACGTGTGGGACATGCTTGGCCGACGAGTTGCAGCCCGTCAACCTCCTCCTACATGTCTACCGGAACTTCGGAGAGCATTGCTTTTTGAGTGGTGTAATATCCCCCCAAGATCAGATCGATAATTTGATACTCAGCATGCCTAGGCGTTGTACGGACTGTATTGCATCGTCTGGGAGACATACAATGTATTAACAATCATACCAACCATGTAATATTGTTTTTTTTTTAAATAGCTTTTTTTTTGTAATTTGCTCCAGGGAGAAAAAATCGCTAATTTTTTTAATAATATCAAACATATAGCATCTTTTTTGCTCTTTACCTTTTGTTTAATAAATAAGCTTTACAAATAAGTCAAATTTGTTTTGCTTCTAACTCTTCCTTTGCCTGATTTTGCATTATCCTTAATTTATAGACATGAGTGCAGATTGAAAAAAAAAAAAAAAAAAAAAGATGCTTTTGTGTATAATGCTATCTTTTCAGATATCCCATAAATAAACTGTTTACGTAATGAATTTATACTTTATAACCCATAAAGTATAAATTCATTCCGCAAACTTAAGTTAATATTTTATTTTAAATTTAACCTAACAACATTTTAGGAAAGTTCTATTAAATAACTGCGCCTATTTAATCGCAAATTTTGTTGTGTTTTTAAATATATTTCGATGACATTTAATTTTTGTAATGGATACATTGTCTTACAAGTAAACTTCATTCCAAATAAATAAAATCCATGCTAATCCATGATATTTTCAATTTAAATAAACAGATGTGGCGTACGAATATACTAGATGCAATGCGTCTAAACTCGTAACTTTTGTGTTGTGCTGACAAATTTTAAAAGTTCATTTTTTACATAGCTCTATAAAGAGAATCTCAGTGCGTTCGCCTTACGAAAAACGCAGTCTGTTTTTTGAAGTTAATTCTAATCAAAAGTTTTACGATTTATTTATATTACCTTGCACATAAGCGCTTAAATACAAATATTTATTACAATCGGCAAATAATATTATTATTTATTAGACCTTTAAATTGTGTCTTTATTATTTGGTGACATAAATGCATACAGCGTGGTCTGGATGTTATTTTAAGATTACATAGAATAAATTTCAAATTAGTATATTTTATCCAAGAGGATATTAAAATGAAAAAATCCCATTTCTGAAATTTTGCAAGACTATAAAATTCCAAGTGATATTACGGTTGACCAAGTAATAAAAGGAATCCTGGCCTCATCAGCTGAGGAGTATGGTTCTAAAAGTGAGTCAGGTTACATATTTGAAAGTGTCTCCTGATTAAGCAGGTGAAATATTTGCAGCACTTTTCATTTTAAAAGAAGCAAAAGGTTTTAAAGGAAATGAATAGCATTTACGTTAAAGATGGATAAAACCACGAAATCCTTCATGTTTCGAGTTCGTTCATCGTGATTTAAGCCCACTTCAAACAACTCCGTTCAGCGAATTTACATCTCGACTACCAGTGGTGTTGCTATTTTTAAACTTTTATATTTCGATTCAGTTAGCTAGTTGGAACAGGTGTAACAGATTATTACTTTCATCCCTTTTTTTACTGCATTTCATCTGTATTAAACTTTCAATTCATATGTAGCTTATTTATTATCATATAAAAGGTACACTCTTTGTATCACGCTGACATTAGGAAAATTATGAGGCATTTTTCTATAATAACATAATTTCCAGCGTTTCGAATATTGTGATCCCATTTTTCAGGGATTAGATTTCCATCTGTTCTGTTTAACGTTTCACTTTAAATTACTGTGTGTTGACTGTCAAAATATGTTTCTTTCGAGTTTTAATCGCTTCTTTAATTATTTATATTTTTGTCGAATGAATCCGTCAGCCCAGCGACTTTCTAAATTTTCAGACCTGCATTTTGAAAATTTCGAAAGTCACCAAATAGCATCGCATAACTAAATCTTGTAATTTGTAAACGCTTGTTAGCTACTAACGTAATATCCCGTCGACTGTAAAAGGTGTGTACTATGAAATGTTGGAAGTTGACGAACTTACCATCAAAGCCAATTGCGCAAATCGTTCCTGTTGAATTCTAAAAAAAATGACACCTCTTTATTTAATAAACACACAGTATTTGACCCGTTTTGTTTCTGCGGTTTTTAAAAGAAATTATGTCAGTTTCTTCTATTTTGTTAGGATCACGGATTTTACCAGAAGCTGTGTTTAGAATGCAATGAGTACAAACTTCCCTCTGGTAATTCCTCCTATATTACTTTCTCTGCCATATTCAGCTGATCATATAGTGTCCATTAATATGCACTTTTCTGAGGTTAGGATACCATAATGTTGACAAAATATGCTGCTTGCTGTTGTGTAGAATGCAGGTCCTATCCTTGTAAGTAAAGGGAATCTCTTTTTATCAAACTACTATTTGGAAGGACTGGCGCAAGTCTGAGGACATATTTATTTGCTGAATCTCTAACTTCTACCTGGTGATTATCAAAATATATACAGAATTATTCTTTCATTCAAACGTTTGTCGAAATGACTGTTGTAACTTTGGGGAGATTTCTGCGAACTTTGTCGCGTATTGTTCGTAAATAAGTAAGTATCGAAGGTTGCCGGGAAAATACCTAAGTATCGGAAACTCTAATCACTGGAGACATATGTCTTTGAATTCCATATGTATGGGTCATAAATTTATTGAAAATTAAATCACCCTTTCCCAAACCTTGAAAACTGGCTATTGACATTTTTGTCTACAAAGGTACAAATTATGCTTCCCTTTTATTCTATTACGTTATTATTACTATCTTATTACGTTTTAATTAGGTAAATTTCAAAAAGGCCTTTGAAAATGGACCTAGTCATTACTGAAGTTATTAGGCAAGAGAAAAAGTGTAAAAACAAAAGCATTTTTGCTTCCAAATAAGTGAGCGTTTACAGCATTTCTAAATGAAATGTTATGCAGTACCATGCGAATGCACAAGTACTAATTCAGCAAAAATGTTTCAGTTAAAGAAGCGGACTGAAAAAGATGTGACTCCAAAAATGTTAGAAGATCCTACTCTATTCTACAGATTCCTAAAAGGTAAGGATATTCTATTAAATTATAGAACAGCAATAAGAATCTCTATTCAGCCTTTTACGAAGTTAAATTTATAGCATTTTAAATAAATATTTTTTAATTTTTTTTCAAAATTACATTTAAAGATAATACTAAACAAAGAAATCACATTAACAACTTCACCGTCCTAAAAACTCAAATATTTGCTTCTTTTTCTTCTAAAGGTAAACTTTTTGCATCTGAATCTAGCCTTAGAAATGTTTCTTTTCTTATTCCACCATAAGTCAAGACTTAAATAGGTCTACAGCAAGGGTGTCAAACTCGCGGCCCACAACAAATATTTTTGCGCCCCGGCCAATATATCGGCAAATAATAATATATAATAATAAAATAACATATCGACAAAGAAAAACATGAAATGTTTACTGCTAAGTAATTAACGATAATTTATTCAGTGTTGTTAGATTACTCACAGCGAGCTGACATACACACACTACTTAAATTACAAATGCGTGTGAGTAGCTTGCGTTCAGCTACCTTCGGCTTTTAGGGGACACGTGCACTCAGAACTTGTACGCATCCCCCGATAGCCGAATGTGGCCGAACTCATGGTCTCAGTTTTCCAATCATAGTTTTGTACGATATATTGGTGCATGCACTTTGCTTTATAATTAATTATTACTTTATTCATATTGTTACGGATTTCATAGTTATTTATTTATTTAGTTTTTTTTAATTTAGAATTGTAATTAGATTTGCTTCATGTTGCATTAGCGACGCAGACGATTTTTGAAAAGACAGCTGCGTTGGAAGGTTAAAAATAGAACAGCGCATGCATTTAATACCTAATAAATAAATATCTAGTAATTGCTTTTGCCATCCACAAAAATCCAGATATTTATAGATGATGCGGCCCGCCTAAAGTGTTTTTGTTTTTGCGTCCCGCCTAAAGTTAAACCTTGTTTGTTTGGCCCAAGTGTACCTATGAGTTTAACATTCCTGGTCTACAGCCTACCTTTCACCCTCCATACCCAGGATAAAATTTCTTTTGTGTTCCCTAGTCACTTATCGAAAAACTAACAACGTTGATCCTCTAAAACAGCTGAAAGAGCCAAAAGTGAGCCTAAAACGTACAAACATAAACAGTCCATAATGTGGAGTCAAAATATGGTTTCTAATCTGTTATAAATATTTAATTTTTTAATCAAGAAAATTCAATGTTGTATTGACTTTAATTTTATAGGTAATCCTGACGCTAAATATATATATATCTTTTTAGGGAAGTTCTATTAAATAACATCTTCCTCGATCTAAGATTGAATGTTGCCTTGTTTTAAAATTCAAACTGGAGTGTTAATCTCTCACCTGTTAAGTTTTATATGCGTATTTTGCTGTTTTCTAAAGAAAGCTAATATAAAAGTAACTAGATATCTTAAATACTTCAAATGTTCTATATAATTCTTTAATTTATAAATTTAAACTTGAAGTAACATAATCTCCAGTATTCTAACAACGAAAGATGAATGAAATATTTGAAAAAATGTTATATTCTTTTGAAGACGGAAATAGCGAATTATTTTATGATTCAAAAAACCACTCTCTCGAAACTAATGATTTTCTAGAAAAGAAAACAAAAGGAACTGCATAAAATGCCTTTCTGGAAATAAAACTCAAATATTCAGAAAATTATTTTTCTCTTCAATTTACTTTAAAATTTTAAAAACAATACCTTTAGTTCCCGTTTAACCTTTCTAAGCTACTGTAATTATTAAGTTGTTACACGTACGTAGTCATGAAATTTATTACTTTACTTGCGTCCTACTCAAGGCTTTCTTTTGTTACTTTATGTGAGCGAAGTTCGTTAGCCTTGGTGGCGACGAACGGCATTGTATAGCAATGGCACCAGTTTCCTCACATTCCCCTCTTCATCTTCCGATATCAGTGATAAGATTTCTTTCTCCGTATTTTTGAAAACATCGCCTCTGATAAGAGTCATTAAATGTATTTCATTAGTTTCCAAAATTTCAGTTTTGTCCTTTTCCATAAGGTTTTTTTTTTAGAGGTTGCCTTTTTCAAGGAAGTTTATCATAGCTTGTGTGTCGTTATTTTGTGGTTTTTTCCTGTTTTTAATTGCTTCTTTCTCTCAAGAACTAATCTTCCATTCACAAAATGCACAATTTGTTTGCTAGTTTTCAACTTTCGCGTTAAAATGATAAAACCTGACTACTTGATATCGAATGGAAGCGTTCTAGTGTAAAATTTCAGTTATATTTTCTTAGTAACATTTAGTTTAGTGTTTGCTCTGACACAACTTAAATATGCTACTAAAAATTCTTTGCAACAGAAGTGAAATTTTTCAGTCTTACAAAGAATGAGTGACGTGGGGCGTGGGGACCATTTCTATACCATAGTAGTTAATCAATTTAACGCCACGTTCACCATTCTGTAGAGATACCGCCTTGTGAAATCGGGAGGAATCACACAGGTGCCTCGACCGCAAAGACCCTAATAGTATATACCCACTGCCTCCTCTTAAACCGCAGTGGCCAGTGGGAATTGTTATGTTGTTGCAATGTATACAATTATTAAAGTTTATAATTTCCATTTGTTGACAAATAACTGCAGTCAAGTGACATCCGACCGCGAAATGATGTACTGATCTAAGAGAAGTGTAAATATGAAACAAATCTACTTAAATACTCTGGGAAACGACTATTATTTGTCAGAAACTGGTTCATATCTATATCATGATAAATTTGCATTTTTGGTGCTATTGTTATTCTTTTCAATAAACCTCTATTTCTCATTGAGTTCTTCCATTGATTTATCAATTTATCAAAACAATATTTTTTTCATAATACCAATTTCATAACGTTTAGAATCAGATATTTCTATACAATCAACATTTTCTACAACAGCAGCCTCTTTAGCTGGCACGTCCGCCTTCTCATTTCAGGCAAAACCTACATGAGCTTTTACTCAATGAAGTAAAGTATTATGTTTTCTCCTTAAGACCTTAAATTTTCTTTGATATTATATATAGTTAAATTTTTAATCCCTGGACTGGACAATGACTGTAGCAAAGTAAGACAATCTGTGTAAATATAAATACACTCTGAAATTTTTAAGTTTACTCTTATCCAAAGCTTTCCTGAATGCACAGCATTCCGACTGGTATACAGAATTATAATAATTCAGTTTATATTTTTCATAATAAATTTCAACACCATAGTAAAATACAGTAAATGCTGCACCATAACAGTTATCCTGCCCATAGCCATCAGTGAACACCAGTAATTGGCTATACCTTATCCTATTTCATTGAGAAATTTGCAGAGGTATGAACAGTGCGAAAAAAAAAGGAACAGTTCTTTATCTCCCATTCTACTGGGCTAATTGACGAAATTCAACTTGCGTTTTTCATGTCTTCAAAGCGCGACTCAGGATATGTATTAGATTTATATATAGCATTGTTCTAATTTAGGTATTTTGACTCAAAAATCGGACTTTTTCTGAAATGATATGGCGATATTTTTTCATACTTAAATTCTACAGATCCAATTACGCCAAATGAATTTTTTAAAAATCGCACGAGTAGGTCTTAAAAAATTAGCTCTCAAAATTTTAGTTCCTCAGTGTTAATTGTGTTTGGTATATATTTTTTAATATCTCTTTTTTATTAAACTTACAGTTTTTTATTCAAAATTTCTGAAGATATACGTGATGTTATAGACTCTTTTTCAAAAAAGTCGAAGCATCATGAAGGAAGTGGTTACTTTTGATGAAATTGAATATGTGTATAGCGCATACATAGATAATAAAATGATTAAAAATCAAGGTCATAGCACCTGTTCACTGCTCACAATAATTGAGTGTTCAAATTAGTAGTTGGTCAAAGAGCCCCTGGCGGCAATACATCATTGAATTCGTTGAGACAAGGAGAGGTAAAGATTCCTATTGTCATCCTGCGACATATTCTGCCAGGCATTCATCAGTTGTCGCTCCAGATCTGAGATATTTTGTGTGCCCGAATCCGGCAGCCTACCATGCCCTAGACATGCTCGATTGATGAAAGGTCTGGTGACCTTGCTGGCCAAGGAATAGCATCAACCGCACAGAGACAGTCCAGAGATATGGGAATGGTATGTTGCCTGGCATTACCTTGTTGGAAAATGGCGCCAAGATGACGTGCCATGAAGGGTAATGCAACTGGCGGCAGGATGATATCAACATATCGTTCAGCTGTTCAAGATATACGGAGGATGACTAAAGATGACCTGCTGTGCTGTCATAAGAAATAGCACCCCACACCATCACACCAGGGGTATGCCTTAAAGGCTGAATGACACCACTGGCCCCGTCCTCTTTAGACACGAACACGGTTGTCATCTGCTTTAAGATTGAAGCGGGATTCATCGCTGAACACTATACGATGCCAGTCTGATGGAGCCACGATGATCGGCTGCGACAGCACTTCGGAGGACTCCGCCGATGTTATGAAGTCAAAGGGAAACATCAAAGGCCTCTGTGTGCGTAACCCCGCCTCAGACAAGCGCGTGAGATGGTGGACGGTTCCACGAGAGGTATAGACGTGGCTTTAGTGCTTTGAATAGTCGACAATAATACCGATGGGGCGGTTCGGGCCCGGCAAACAATCAAACTATCTTGCCTCGCATTTTTTCTCCTTGGCCTTCATTTCGTCGACAATTTCCTTGTAGCAACCATTGCTGCCAACATTTGTGCACAGCAGTGTCAGTACGCCGCAGACCTATTGCTCAGTATGACCCCCAACTTCACGCAACCCTACAGTGCGACCACGTTCGAAGTCGTTTAGTTTTCTGTAAGGTCTTCGATATCGTCGTAATGGCATCTTTAATTGCTTCTTTACGGAATTACAATGGCAGCAACAAAAAAAAAAAAAAAAAAAAAAAAAAAAAAAAAAAAAAAAAAAAAAAAAATTTTCGCTAATCTTACTGGTTTTATACTTTGCGAGTTACGAACTAGAAATGTGCTCTATGATCGCA